TACGACAGCGCTAGCAAATTCCAAGTGCTCCCGTTTTACTATTTGCTTTTATTTTCAGAGAGTCTTTTTTCCAATGGCCCTACTGACCGCACAAAAAGCACTGCTGTGACTTAGCCGACAATGCCGCAAGTGCTTCGCAATCAGAGACAGACTGTGTTGTCTAGACCCGACATTCATACAAGCATTTAACATATCATCTATGCTGATCTCTTAGTGGCTGCAATAATTTCTGACAGTCAGGGTTAGCATTCTCAATAGCAAGTTGTTTGAAAACATATTCACGTGCTACCTCCTTATCAATCTGTTTCTCCAGAGCCTCATTAAGTCGGTCTAAAAACTTCAGAGCACACAACACTTCTGCATCCCCCACCCGTTTCACTTCTCCCTTTACAGCTTCTCATTTGTCATGGGGGTTTGCGGGATATAAATCAGACTCCTTTTCCAGATCCATAGGCCCCGGGTCAAAAGGACCATCCAGGTCATCATCAGAAATATCAGGTGGCAGAACCACAGGAGCAACAACAGCAGACTGATTTTTTGATCTCACGGCAGAGTCCAACAAAGAGGGCAGTGGTAAGGGAGCCGAAGGTGCCGCTTCTACCCCCGTGCTTGTGAGCCGGCATGAAGTTTTAAAATTTCAGAAATAACTTGCCATGGGCTCAATAAAGTGGCGGCAACTTTACCACTGTTTGTAGCACAGTCCCACAAATTAACACCGATTTTGTCCCAAAGCTCTGGGTTATAAATATTAGCGGAATTAATAGATGGATTGACTTTTGATGCCCAGTGTGATAAACGCATAAAGGTACTGGCTTTCGCAAAGCATGGGTGTTGCTATGCGGATATAACTGTATGAGTTCGCAAAGCTTGCTAAAGAGACAAGATTAGACAAAAAGTTGAAAATGGCCAGAACTCTTGAGCGAAATGGAGTCACATAGCAAAAGAATTTGTAAAGGTAAAAGAAAAGGGGTGGAGGGAGCTTGATATGAGGAAAGCTAGTGCCTGGAAAACATAGGGTTAAAGTACTTTTAGCTTAACGTAGGTCAAAGATAAAGAACAATGTTTACGTTGTAAGTCTATGGAATTTAGTGGCCCCACTAAACATGAGTAAATTATTTCACACCATCCTTCTACTTATCAGTTAGCTTAGAGACAGTGCGTACCAAACATGTGCTAGCTATGGATACACCTTGTCTGCCCATCCTGCATTAAATTTTGCAGTAAGGTAACACTGTCCTGAATCTTTGCCAGCTATCAGAAATATTAAGGATATGGCTGGTTTCAGCCAGTTTTGTGATCACTGGGACATCCGACTGTGACAAAGGTGAAAAGTACACCGTGAGGAAGACTGCTTACTTCATCCGCAAGACCCCTGCCCACAGTCACCGGAGAGCAGTGCGCAGACGCCAAGAGGAGGAGAATTATGATAATAAGTTTCTGGAGCCAGTCCTAATATTTCCCGCTTATACGCGGGAATTAGAACATGTATATGACTAATGCAAAAGTGAAAGTACATAAACCTGTAACAAATGATAATCAGTGCACCTCTGGCTAAGGTCACGAGCCCAGGGCTGTTGCTCTTGCTTTATTGACTTTGCCCCTCAATAAAACCCTGTTATCTCAATTACGGGAGTGAGCTCGTTTTTCGCAGGGGTGTCTCCCCATCCTGCTGGGCCATCTCTTCTGGTCTTCCCAGGAATGCTGCTGTCCCAAACTGGGTAGGAACCGGTTTGCCTCTTGAGCACATGTCCACAGGGTCTGCAGACTCTTTCTGTGAACCTAGGTGCCCTCCTGCTGCCTTCTTGCTCTGACGGCGCCTGTCCCAGCGGTCAAAGGGAGAGCATTAGGGAGCACACTGTGCCTCAGCAAAGCGGGAGGCTGCACAGCTTCTTGTATCACGGCCAGGTCTCCAAAGTTACTCTCATATTCTAGGGCGTTGCTTGGAAGACCGTAGAGCCGCTGGATCTTCATTTTTACAATATGCTTCTCCAGCTGACATATCACAGCCCTGTCCAGGAAGGGTGGGTCTCGTACAATGGGGAAAACCAACACGTCACGTGTTTTTTGTGGCTGAGCTGATAGAGGTGGTATCCCTCTTGAGAAGATGTCCATAGCACCTGCAAACTCTTTCTGTGGACCTTGGTGCTCTCTTGCTGCCTTCTTGCCCTGAGGGCACCTGTCCCAGCGGTCACAGGGAGAGCGGTAGGGCAGCACACTGTGCCTCTGCATAGCAGGAGGCTGCGCAGCTTCTTGTATCCAGGCCAGATCTCCAAAGTTACTCTCGTATTCTAGGGCGTTGCTTGGAAGACCGTAGAGCCGCTGGATCTTCATTTTTACAATGTGCTTTTCCAGCTGACATATCACAGCCCTGTCCAGGAAGGGTGGGTCGCGTACAATGGGGAAAACCAACATGTCATGTGTTTTGGAGGGCTGGGCTGACAGAGTTGGCATCCCTCTTGAGCATGTGTCCACAGGGTCCGCAGACTCTTTCTCTGAACCTGGGTGCTCTCTTGCTGCTTTCTTGCTCTGACCGCCCTTGTCCCAGCGGTCAAAGGGAGAGCGGTAGGGCAGCACACTGCGCCTCAGCATAGCGGGAGGCTGCGCAGCTTCTTGTATCAGGGCCAGGTCCCCAAAGTTACTCTCATATTCCAGGACCTTTCTTGGCATCCCGTAGCACTGCTGGATCTTCATTTTCACAATGTGCTTCTCCAGCTGACATTTCACAGCTCTCTCCAGGAAGGGTGGGTCTCTTGCAATGGGGAAAACCAACACATCACATGTTTTTTGTGGCTGTGCTGACAGAGTTGGTATCCCCCCTGAGCACGTGTCCACAGCATCTGCAGACTCTTTCTGTGGACCTGGGTGCTCTCTTGCTGCCTTCTTCCACTGAGGGCACCTGACCCAGGAGTCACAGGGAGAGCGGTAGGGCAGCACACTGTGCCTCTGCATAGCAGGAGGCTGCGCAGCTTCTTGTATCCAGGCCAGGTCTCCAAAGTTACTCTCATATTCTAGGGCGTTGCTTGGAAGACCGTAGAGCCGCTGGATCTTCATTTTCACAATGTGCTTCTCCAGCTGACATATCACAGCCCTGTCCAGGAAGGGTGGGTCTCGTACAATGGGGAAAACCAACACGTCACGTGTTTTTTGTGGCTGAGCTGATAGAGGTGGTATCCCTCTTGAGAAGATGTCCATAGCACCTGCAAACTCTTTCTGTGGACCTGGGTGCTTGCCCACGGCGCTGTTGGGCAGCACACTGCGCCTCAGCATAGTGGGAGGCTGCGTAGCTTCTTGTATCAGCCATCTTGTTTGGCACTGATCTTCATTTTCACAATGGGCACATTTCTCCAGGAAGGGTGGGTCAGCAGTCACATAGCACCTGCAAACACTCCTTCTCTGGGAGAGGGAGAGCGGTAGGGCAGCACACTGTGCCTCTGCATAGCAGGAGGCTGCACAGCTTCTTGTATCAGGCCCAGGTCTCCAAAGTTGCTCTCATATTCTAGGGCGTTGCTTGGAAGACCGTAGAGCCACTGGATCTTCATTTTTACAATGTGCTTCTCCAGCTGACATTTCACAGCCCTGTCCAGGAAGGGTGGGTCTCGTACAATGGGGAAAACCAACACGTCACGTGTTTTTTGTGGCTGAGGTGACGGAGCTGGTATCCCTCTTGAGAAGATGTCCATAGCACCTGCAAACTCTTTCTCTGGACCTGGGTGCTCTCTTGCTGCCTTCTTGCCCTGACGGTGCTTGTCCCAGCGGTCAAAGGGAGAGCGGTAGGGCAGCACACTGTGCCTCAGCATAGCGGGAGGCTGTGCAGCTTCTTGTATCCAGGCCAGGTCTCCAAAGTTACTCTCATATTCTAGGGCATTGCTTGGAAGACCGTAGAGCCGCTGGATCTTCATTTTTACAATGTGCTTCTCCAGCTGACATATCACAGCCCTGTCCAGGTAGGGGGGGTCACGTACAATGGGGGAAACCAACACATCACGTGTTTTCTGTGGCTGAGGTGATGGAGCTGGTTTCCCTCTTGAAAACATGTACGTAGCACCTGCAAACTCTTTCTCTGGACCTGGGTGCTCTCTTGCTGCCTTCTTCCCCTCAGGGCACCTGTCCCAGGAGTCAAAGGGAGAGCGGTAGGGCAGCACACTGCGCCTCAGCATAGCGGGAGGCTGCGCAGCTTCTTGTATCCAGGCCAGGTCCCCAAAGTTACTCTCATATTCCAGGACCTTTCTTGGCATCCCGTAGTGCCGCTGGATCTTCATTTTTACAATGTGCTTCTCCAGCTGACATTTCACAGCCCTGTACAGGAAGGGTAGGTCACGTACAATGGGGAAAACCAACATGTCACGTGTTTTTTGTGGCTGAGCTGACGGAGTTGGTATCCCTCTTGAGCACATGTCCACAGCATCTGCAGACTCTTTCTGTGGGCCTTGGTGCTCTCTTGCTGCCTTCTTCCCCTGACAGCGCCTGTCCCAGCAGTCAAAGGGAGAGCGGTAGGGCAGCACACTGCACCTCAGCGTAGCGGGAGGCTGCACAACTTCTTGTATCAGGGCCAGGTCTCCAAAGTTACTCTCATATTCCAGGACCTTGCTTGGCACCCCGTAGCACCGCCGGATCTTCATTTTTACAATGTGTTTATCCAGCTGACTTTCCACATCCCTCTCCAGGAAGGGTGGGTCTTGCATGATGGGAAGCACCAACGAACTCATGTCACATGTTTTTTGTGGCTTCCATGATGGAGAAGCCGATGCTTTGGCATCCTGCAGAGTCTGATCCACCTTGGCTGGCAGGCCTTGTTTCTGCTGCAGTTTCTTTTCTGCGTTGAAGGCCTCCACGGTATTCTGGCTTTTGCGCTGTGTCATGGGCATCTCCATTTTCCTTCCTTCCATGTCCCTCTCCTCTGGAGTTGGACTGGGAGCACCCCACTGGCGCTGGAGATCCTGCTTGTGCTGATGCATGCTGCATGCCTCGAGGTATCTGTCCACTTCAACATTTCTTGCCATGATGGAAAGCCACGAGCTGTCACTCAAAGGAGACACAGAAACCTTTGAACAGGACTCATCTTCACTGTCTGTGATGGTAGTCCAGGAGCTGTTGCTCCTCTCAGACATCCCACAATCTAGCCTGTGAGGAGGAAAAAAAGACTAAGCCCAGCACTCCCCAGGACCCTGGGCCCATCTTTCCTGCACTGAAGGAGACTGCAGGCTCTGTTACTGCTGTGGGATCCCACTCACTGTGTACCCGAGTGCCCCTCCTTGCCTGCTGGGCAAAGTATCTCCCTCCGCACCCAAAAAAAGGGTGAAAAGCATCAGCTTTGTCCCATGGGGGTCATTCCCTCTCCAAGGGCATGTCCTCTCGTATTCTAGGTCCATGGATTTCCCCATACCCCCTCTAGTTGGTCACCCATGCCCCCCCCCCCCCCATCCCCTTCTCAGTGGCCTCACGTGTCTAGGTATGCGGTTATGCCCTCCGTGATTCTTATGATCTGACAGATTGTTTTATATATGGCCTTCATCTCCAGGTCTACGGAGCAGCTGCAGAGGAGCAGAGGGCACTGTCAGTAGGACCTCCCATGGCAGGAGAATACTGGAGGGGTCTGTTGTGTTCGAGGAGGGTTGGCTCCACTTACCATTTCCTTGATAGATGTGAAGACTTCAGGAAGACAAAGCCTGGTTGCAGAGGATAGAGAGTGAGTGGATGGAACATCCCCGGACAGGATGGTGGGCATATGGGGTCAGAGGGTGTCTTTGCAAGGCATCTGCCATTGCCCAGGGGCTGCTCACCTCTGGCATGTCTCTTCTTGCCATTGCGTTGGTGCTTCTTTGGTCTTCTTTCCTAAATTGGCACAAGAAGCAGTGCGTAAGAAGTGGACATTCCCCACTAGCCCAGTGCCACCCGCAGAAACCCGAGCCCATCCAGGGCCAGACCAGCCCTGTGTCTCCTGGCCCAGGCTGGTCAGGCCCCGCTGGGAAATGGCCTCCCCTGCCAGGGCGGAACCCTTCAGCCCACCCCTGGGGCTGCTCCTGGGCTCCTGCTGCATCCCAAACCCTGCCAGCCAGAGCTCGGCTCAGCACCAGCTATGACTCCTACCTGGGGCTTCCCCATGGCCACTGTGAAGCAGTAGCAAACCACCGGCAACAGAAACAGCAGGAAAAGAGGGAGGGCCACTTGGCTGAGCAACCCGCTCATTTCATAGAGCATGCCAGCTATGCCTGTAGCATGCGAGAGAGAGCCAAGGAGAGGTTGAGGAGGAGCAGCCAGACCCAGCTAGCGTCCACTTGCTCTTCCTGTCCAGCTCCAGACCCTCTCACTTCACGGGCAGCTTGGCGGCAAAGCCTGCTGTACCATGCTTGGTGCCACACATACAGCTGCTGGTGTTTGTGATGCAGGCGTGGCAGGGCTGTCACGAGCTGTGATGTCACCAGTACTCAGCTCTGGCAACGTTTCTCATGCAGGGACAGTGACAACAGGGGGAGGTGGCCCTCCCTGAGCTGAGCTCAACCGAGGGAAGTGACAAGTCTCTAGAGCACTGGACAACTGTAATCCAACCCAGTGTGAGAGAGCTCATCCTCCCTCCTCCATCGCAGCAAGGTCATCCCCAGTGTCACACTGGGAAGCACAACAGCCTCCGGAGTCCAGCAGCTGTTGGGTCCACTTTCTGCAAAACCTGACAGATTTATCCCTTCCAGTGTGGGAGTTTGGACTATAGCATTTCTATGAGTTTATACATTCTGAAGTAACTACCAGACAATCCCTGTGTAAGCTTGATGGCTGCAGGAGATGGCAAGCTGGAGGTGATAATGGCTGTGTAACAACATATAGCCCTTTTTGAACACTGTGTCCAGCTCCTGTTGGGCTCCTGTTGCTGCCGGGCTGTTTCTCTGGTTCAGTCCTGGGATACCCCAGTCTAGGCTGGATGCTGGAGGTATGAACCACGTCTGCTTCATCCACAAGTGGAGAGAAACTTCCCTGAAGAGCAGCCAGCGTCACTTGCAGTGATGAAAGTCCAGTACTCATAAGTGTCCTGGGGCTCTCCCTCCTGTTCTGATGGTAATGGCAGGCTGCATCATTGCTGTGGGGTCCCAGCAGCCGTGTGTCCAAAGCCCACTCTCTGCCTGCTAGGCACTGCATCCATCTCTGTCTCATCAAAAGGCAGGGAAACTGCAACCTCTGTGCCACAGAGGTGAATTCCTCTGTAAGAGCATTTCCCCTCACATTTTAGGGTGATGGATTTCCTCATGCCTTCTCCAAATGGTTGCTTGCAGCTATGCTCCCATCCCCTCCTCAGTGGCCTTTCATCCAGGCATCTGATTACCTCCTTGAGGCTCCTCCTGAACTGACTAAAGGAATGCAAAGCCTCAAACCAGTCATGCTCTGCTTGGAGTGTCCTTTCCTTTGACTTGCTTGGTTGAAAACTGAAGTTGTTTCATGCGCCCAGTCTGCATCACCTGTGCTGTGAGGTCTGAACCCATTCAGATGTAGTAAATGTTTGCTTCTCAGGAATTACCACACCCCACCATGATGGACAACAAATCTGCTAGTATTTGCTGACTTTGTTGCTAGGAACTGAAGTATTTTTACAATAACCTTTGCAAAATAAAGTCTATATCTGATTAGAAAGAACAAGAAAAGAAAAATGATAATTGAAGTTCAGGATGGAACTCTCATGCTGGAATAAAAAAAGCAGGGCCATCAAGGAGGACAGTGCATGAAGATGTGAGCAGCTGGCGGTGATGAATTAGAAGAGGGTAGGAAACAATCTCATGAGGGGCACGAGAGCAGCTTGGTGCCAGCAGCCGCCACGCTTGGTAGCATGTCCTGTCTGTCTGTCCTGTGGTTGCTGTAGAGTGTGCGGGTTTTGGAGTCCAGAGAGCTCAGACCACATGAGCCTGTCCTCTGCAGGCAGTTGTAGCCATTTTTAGGACTCAGGAATTACTAGGGCTGAAAGCTTGGAGATGCATTATCTGTCATTTCTTGCATAATTCTCGTTCACACACAGAAAAAGCATTACTGAATTAACAGTTAAAACGTGGCTGGCATCCCACACAGCGAATAGATTGTACACTGGTGGGCAGAAGCAGGTTTCAAAGTAGTGTATTTATTTAATTGGCAAAAATAAAAAAAAAAAGAAAAAGAAAAAGGAAGAGCTAGAAAACAATTCATGTAATTCACAGCCGATGCCTTTGATTTCTGAGCATCTCATACAAGGCCCTCCCTGTGACAAAGTAAAACAGGGGCATTTCTAGCCTGGCAACATGATCTTGAACAGCAGGATGTCACAATTTTAGCCACAGAAGTAAAAATTTTAAACTTCCGTATTACCTAAAATGGTACCTCACACATCTTCCAGAGGAGCTGAGAGGTAAGCTGCCCCTCAGTTCACCAAATGGGTTCCCCACGATTTGCATCCCCTGTCAAGGTCCTGCTTTCCGTACCATGCAAGTGGTCAGAAAATAGCTTTAGGTTTCAGGAGCTCTGTGTGTGGCCATAATCTGTCATAAACGCAGCTGCTTTTGTCATCACTGGGCTACCTTTTGACATAGCACAGGACTTCCTGGGTCTGTTGCTAGAGACTAAGCTGCCTGCTTGTACAAATCATTCCTGTCTCTTTTCTGCCTCAGAAGTCTTCTGAGCATGGACAGGAAAAACAAGTCATCCGGTAAGCAGTGGGATTAAATGGTCTTTTCCCGTGTTCGAAGCATTCATCACAAAGCTCTTCCTCTTTTAATTCGGTTACCTAACATAGACTGAACTCACATTGTAGCCTCTTCCTCAGCAGAGAATGTGGGTGAGCAGAGCTCAGGGACAGGGAGGGCTATCTCCCTACACCTGTGGGAGATGGGGCCATCAGCCCATGAGGGGGACAAGGACGCAGGGAGGCCTGACTTCAGTGCTAGGGAATGTTATGGAGCAGGTCATCCTGAGTGAGATCACAAAGCGTGTGAGAAAACACAGGAATCGGGCCCAGTCTTCCTCATGTTGGGGTGAAAATTGCGGTTTTTTTCTTGGGTACGTGTATTTCTTACTAGGTTGGAAACTGGCTGGATGGCTTAGCGCAGAGTAGTGGTAGACGGTGCCACATCTAGTTGGTGACAACTCACTAGCAGTGTTCCTCAGTATTAGGGCCACGTATCTCCTGCAGGCTAAGGGCCACGAGAGCTGCCACTGGAGAAGAGTGTCTCTCTCATGAGAAGAAACCTTCAGTTCTGTCACTGTCTCTAGACTCTGCAGGCAGTGGACTTCAGATCTTCCTTCTGGAAGAGGCCCTCAATGTCCTCACCGATTACTTGAAGACCAGGCAAGCTGCTGTGGACCTGTGGAATCAGCTGGGTCATTCCTAGGAAGACCAGAAGAGATGGCCCAGCAGGATGGGGAGACACCCCCCTGGAAAAGGAAGCATGGGGAATTAGCTGGTGGCAGCAAAGCCAGCAGCAAGACCCTGCCAGGCACCGCTGGGAAGGAACGGGGCCCTGGGACACAAGGTGACGGGCACAGCCGTCCCCTTTCTGGCCAGGCAAAGTGGGCACTGCCACAGGGCAAGGGAGCCCCACAAGGGCAATCGGGCCAGGGATCTGAGAGCCCCAGTATCTCCTAGGGGCACATGGGGCCACCAGAACTGCCACTTGAGAACAGCGTCCCTGTGCAAGAAGCAGACCACTCCATGGAAGACCAGAGCAACTCCGGTGAGGATGTGGGGACACCTGAGCTGCCGTCAAACGCGGCCGCTCCACTAACCAAAAGCTCCTCACAGGCACAAAGACCCTCCCTCGAGAAGAGACCCTCAGCTCTGCGGCTGTTTCCAGACCTTGCAGGGACCAACCCTATGACCCCATTCCTCAGTGTCCTCACTGATTACTGTGGGGGTTGGAATGTATCGAACCTGTCAGAGACCATGGGAAGGAGGAACTACAGCAGGCAATTAAGAGTGACCCGTCCCTGACTGTTATTTGGAAGATGTTGGAACTGGCAAGGAACAAGGACGTCGGAACTGGAAAGAGGATGTCGATACGAAAATCAGATAGACCTTTCACCTGATGTAACCGCAAGGGAAACACAGATGTGCTTGGCGAATTGCTTGGAGGCATATAAATATCGTGTAATCTTTGCAATAAACGATACACCTTGCACTCTACCTCTGGGGCCGTGCCTCCATCCTCACAGATTACTTCAGGACCAAGCATGCTGCGGAGGGGCTGTGCAGTCAGCTGAGGCCTTTATGGTAGGAGCAGAACCCAGACAACACAGAGCTCCCCAGTGGCTTGCAGAGCCACCGCCACAGAGGAGCCGAGAACGTCAAGGGAAGTGCTCAGGACAGAGCCAGCTCCAGGAGACTCTGCCCCCAGCGCAGCAAAGCCCCACATCTCCGCCAGATCTCCAGGCCCCGTCAGGAGCAGGAGGTCTCCCACAAGATGTGTTTCTTCTGCAGTGAGCCCAATGGAGCCTTTTCAGCTGGGGGAGGAGAGTCCCGCAAGAAGAGCCTGCAGACCCTGCGGACACATGCCTGCTATGGACACAGGCTGCACTCCACTCTGGGACAGCAGCGTTCTTGGGAGGAGCATAAGAGACACCTCAGCAGGACGGGGAGCCAGCCCCTGCAAAGGGGAGCACTGGGGAACAGCCAGCAGCACAGAGATCGTGCCGGGCAGTGCCGGGGCCGCAGGGGAGACCTCTGAGGGGATTGAGGCCTGCCCTGTGATGCCTGCCCCAGCCCTCTCCAGAAGCCTCCATAACAAACAGAAGGCAGTTGGAGCTCAGCCAATCAGGGGAGTTCACGGCAGCTCTGAGCGGATGGGAGGAGCGCGTGTCACCGTAAGCGCACCCGCCCTAGCACGCAGGAGGGCACAGAGGGTTACCAACGGCCCGTAGCAACACCCCTGAGCAACGGCCCTGAGGAACGTCCCTTAGCAACGGCCCGTAGCAACACCCCTGAGCAACGGCCCTGAGGAACGTCCCTTAGCAACGGCCCGTAGCAACACCCCTGAGCAACGGCCCTCAGCAGAGAAGAAAGTAGGCAGGGCTGGTGCAGCCCGCGGGGGGCAGAGAGGGCTCTGCCCATGCCCTAGAGCAGCGGCCCGGGCAGCACGGCTGCGGCAGGAGGCGCAGCAGAGGAAGCAGCACCTTTCCGGCCGAGCTCAGACAGGGCACATCTCGGGTACTTCCAACTCATGGGGCTGCTAGCGCTGGTCCAGTAACCCCATGTACTTACAGTACAGGGACTTCTTAAAACATGTTTGTTTTCTGGAACGAACAACAGAATCTATGTCTCCATGAATGTCACTAATATAATAGGGAGGGCGAAAAGAAGGCTTAGGAGGGACCT